AGGGCGAAGGAAAAGCCCCATTTTTTTTTTTTTTTTTTTTTTTTTTTTTTTTTTTTTTCTTTAAAGGACCTTCACCGAACTGGTTGCAGTTCCTACTGTGGCCAGGAGGCAGAGCAAGATCGAGTGGTATTAAAACGTGTTTTGCTGGCTTATGCCAGGTGGAATAAATCTGTTGGCTATTGTCAAGGATTTAACATACTAGCTGCACTTATTCTGGAAGTAATGGAGGGCAATGAAGGGGATGCCCTGAAAGTGAGTAAAATATTTTTTTTCAGTGTTGAAGATTGCTTTTAGTTAGTGAACTTTAGAATAAATCAGTGCATGAATTTTGTAGGCAGCCTAAAACTGGAGGACCCAAAGGAGTTAACCAATTTATACCTGCAGATTGTTTGTTATCCTGTCTGAGCTAAAATGAACAGTTTGAATGTTATCACTGTTAAATTTTTTTTCAAACGGAAACAAAGGAGGGCTTGGCCGTAATAAAAATAAATGGGAACACTGACTTTGGAACACCTTATTGCATAATCCCAAATCTGCTTCCGAACACCATAGGTAGCTGAAACCTTCAGATTCCATTATCGGCCTTTTGTGTGGCAGTAGCATGCAAGGCAGTTAATAAATCTGCTGCATTTTAAAGCAAATTCTAGGAAAACACAAAAATAAATATTTTAAATGAAAGTAAATAACTTTGAAGCTACTTTCTGGGCTACGTTAGTCATACAGTGTTTTATTTTTTTTAGACCTTTTGTACTCTAATTAAAAGAAAGCTTCATGAAATTTATAATATGTCAGAAAATGGAAATACAGTTTACTGCAGGATGTGGTTTAACGTTTGCCAAGATCATGTGCAAATTTCCTTAAGTAAACTTCCTCATATGTCTGAGTTGGGGTCAAATTAGTAAAGGATGACTGTGACTCTTGAGATACTGAGCTGTTTGTTTTGCCTTAGACAATGATTTAAATATAGTAAATATTTAAATTCACTCAGAGCTCCTAAAATATAAAGCTTGTGGTAGTAGAGTCCAGCTAGCTGGTATTTAATACTTCTTTCTAGAGAGCTGCCTGTGATAGGAAGAAAATACCATAATATACCTACTTTATATCAAAGAGTAAAATTTCCTTTCAATAATTCCTGCTAAAAATTTCCTCAGTATTATTTGTCACATTTTATTGTGATCTTATACTGTCCAGAAGCTCCTAAAACACATTATGATAAACCTTGGGCAATCATATTTCCTATGTTACGAGGTCCAAATTGATTATGAGAACTGTGTGCATCCTTATATTATTGGATTGTCTTTTACTGTGAGCGATGTCAGGCTCCTTGTGCTAAGGAGACAATGGAATGGCGCCAGACTGCCCTGGGGAGGTAAAGCACTGAAGGCTGTTAGCACCAAAATGGGTCTTACCTGGCAAAAATAAGAATGGGAAATAAAGTAATTTCTTTCCAAGCTTAGTGTGTGGACTTTGCAGGGTTGGAATTTCCCCAGAAGAGAGAGGGAAAAGGGAAGGGGGGGGCGGGGGGGGAATTGGGGGTTAGCATGTGGCTGTTTTGTTGTTGCAGTCACTGTGCTGTCTAAAGCAAGTGATGAGTGACTTCGGAACAGCTGCAGAGGCTGTTACCTGTAAAGCTGCCCTCAGGATCGGAGCTGTGGGGAAACTATGTTTGGATTATTGCAGAGTCTAGGAGTTAAGGGAGCAAGGGGATTCTCGGGGCTCGCCAGTCAGGTCCCCTTTCTGGGAAGGACGTTATAAACAAAAGCTCTGTGTCTGGGAAGTGTCTCCCAGAGGCTGGGAAACAGCTGGTACTGTGGACATCATGGGGCTTTAACAGCACAGGAGCCAACATGGTAGCTTCGGTGAATGCCCAGCCAGGGATGCTTGAGTCTTCACTAGTTAAGGTAAGCGTGTTTAAGTTAAATCCCTTAAGACACCTCAAAGTTAGCCTACTGAAGTTATGGTAAGCAAGAAAATCACAGTTTGCACGTACAGAAGCTGTCAAAGTACACATAAAACTCTCATAGATAGTGAGTTAAAAACCATTTTTCCCTGCACATTATTGTGGGGAAATATTACAAAGACAAATAATAAAAAGAAATGTGTAGAGAGAGATGTCATGAAGAAAATAGCTGGTGCAAACTGGTAAATGTGTGAAGCTGCTTTTTTAAAAAAGCATTCTCAAAACAATTTACATGCCAGTGAAATAGAAAGGACTTCCGTGTTGCAAAAAGATTTCTGTTCTTTCCTATGCTCTCATATAGCTGAGATTTCTTGATTTTGCTCCCACCACATAGTGGGAAGGGAGCAAAAGCCTTTATAAAATGGTTTCTTTAAGGTAGGGACTTATGGCTTATGTCATAAGAAATTAATGAAAACACAAATAGCATTGTTGTAAGTTAATGTTATTATATTAAATTATTCTTCCATTGGTTGAAATATTTCTACACAAAATAAAGCATATTTTTAAAAGACAATGAGGTGTCCCAGTATTCAGCAAAGGCTAGGGAATGCATCTGACAAAATATGAGACTCCAGCTTACTTGCATACCATGTTTTGATCACCTATTTCCATTCAATCCTTAAAACTTAACAAAACCAAAAACAAATGTGTAAAAGCTATTGATTTGCCTGTATCAACTACTGATCTACATGCTTTAAAACATGGAACAGAAGACTGTTATTGCCTGAAAAAAATCTTGCAAGGGCAGGTGGTAGTATCTGGTCACAAGCAGCTGTGAGAGAAAAGGAAGCAGGAAGACTATGTAAGGTGGTGCTCTTGGAAGTCCAGTGTCTGCCAAGCTATTTTTGTGGTCATCTTATGAAAAGAGAGGGATTGGAAGGAGGATTGTCTCCTGTGTATGAAAGTGCCATGCTCCTTTCATGCCATCCATCAAGGATGCTTGTTTGAAATATTAACAAAGGAGTAATGGAGAGTTGAAGCGGACGGGATGACCGCATGCAGGCTCTCTAGATACAGTTCGTAGAGTGGCCGTAGAGATGTAAAAGATCCTGAAGTCAAGGTCAGCATCTTCTGTTGGGCTGATGATATACATCAACTTCTGCATATTTCTTTGTTGCATTTGTTCATTCTTAAAAGTTTGACGGTATCCAGTTAATACATTACCTCCCATGTAGTTGAGCTATCTCACTTGAAACAGATGTGTGTTTAAAGTGTCTCATGCTGCTTAATTTAGCACCTTTTAAAGTGACAAGATGAAGTGCAGCACACAGTAACACATCGCAGTAAAATGTGTGGAGAATGTTTTTTAAAGAACAGTATCTTGCATTTTGGAGAGGGGAAAAAAGATGATTTGGAAGATCAGTCTTCTAGTTGTGGAAGTTAACAACCAGAGAAGGGACAGTGGAACTTTCCAACAGTGTGGAGAATCTCATAAACACGTACAGCATCAGAAGTGCCAAAAGTTGCCTTTGGTTTGAGTACTGCTTCCTATTTGGGCGTAGCTTACTGTGACATTGATTTCGGTCATTAATGCTTCATAAATTCTGGACAGCTTCAAGAGGCCTTTGCACCTTGATCGCTTGTGGATACCTAGAGTACCTATGGACGCTTGATAATGTTTTCTCCCCATATAAATGGAGATACCAGAGGCACGTGGTGCCACTGGTTCCAAGCCATTCTTTAGTGAGCAGAGAACTTTAAAATTCTCTTTTTTCGTGTGTTATTCCTAGAAAATAACTGGCTCTGTAAGTCCTACACAATTATATTTCATTTTCCCACAGATCATGATTTACCTAATTGATAAGGTGCTTCCTGATAGCTATTTTGTCAATAATCTCCGTGCTCTCTCTGTGGATATGGCTGTTTTCCGAGATCTTTTACGAATGAAGCTTCCTGAACTGTCCCAGCACTTAGACACCCTGCAAAGAGCTGCTAACAGAGAAAGTGGAGGTAGGTTCAACAGAAAATGCTGTTAAATTCCTTTTTGCTATTGTTTCAGCTGAGCACTGGTCTAAAAATACAGTCTTTTAAGTGTTTACACTAGTTTATTGCTTAGAATATATATTTTAAATTGTTACAGTGAAAGATGACCGTTTCCATTATATTGATAACCTTAACATAAATAGGTGGCGCTCTCAGGAAAAAATAAAGGGGAAATAATTTGGTCCCACCACTAACTGCAAACAGGATCACGTTGACAACGATAAAAAACGTATGGAGTGACAGTACTGTAACACACAGCTTAGTACAAGGGCTACCTTGAAAACGTTGTTTCTTGCCTTAGCTCAAGATACCTGTCCTACCTTGTAGTCGCTACTTACATAGCTGTTCTGGGAAGAGTTACAGTGTGAGAGCCAATGGTGGCTGGTTAGTATTTCTTCACCTGGATGCTTAGCAATACACAGGTGCAAAACTCAGAAGTACTTCTTGGGTTGCTTCCCTCCAGACTTTTTCTTTTTTTAAACAAGATACAGCTCTTTTATTTGGGAGTGTTTTGGGCAGGGTGGAGTTTTTTTCAGTCTCGAAGCTAAGTGTACCCTGAGTTCCAACTTAGAAAAGATCTGCTACCATGTTCCATGTAAATAAACTGTGACTGTGCCCAAACTGTATAAAAACAAAGAAAGGGTATCAAGGAAGTATTTGCTGTTTGAAAGTGTTTTCACAGGCAGCAGACTCTTTGGTCACGGCCTTCAGTGCATCAGTTGATACTAGGATGCACAAAGTGTTCTCTGAGCATAACAAGAAAGTAAAACTTCAGAGTTTCAGGCTGAAATACTAAATCTTGTTTGAAACTTAACAAGCCAAAAGGAAAACTGATTGTGTTTACAGTCGCTTCTGCTAAGCTGGCAGTGCATCAGGATATTAAAACAATAGATAAGACTTTACAGAGACAGTCACCTTCACCTTCATGTAGATAAAGACTTCTTATGCAATTAGTTTCTGAAGAAAAGCAGTGGGTTTTGGGTGTGGGGTTTTTTTTTGGGGGGTGTGTGTGTTTTTTTTAATAAAAGCTTTTCGTTCATATGACTTTGGGGAAGGAAAAGCAATCTTTCTGATATAAGAAAAGGAAAAAAAAAAGCGTGGTGGTGTTTGCCAAGGTTTACAGTCCAAAACCAGTGCTGCTGCGTAGAGCTTTTTGCAGTGCAGCAGGGTGAAAGGTGACTAAGTATGTCATTTTTTCCATCGCTCTCTTTCTCAGCTTATCTTTGGACAGCTGCAGGATAAGAAAGTTTTGAGCAATAACAGAGGTACTAGAATGTCTCGTGGATTTCAGTATGCAGTTTATACTCCTTGTAAAATAATAATGAATTACAATTACTTTAAGCTTTTTTTTATTTTTTATTTCAGGAGGCTACGAACCCCCACTTACAAATGTCTTCACAATGCAGTGGTTTTTGACCCTCTTTGCCACTTGCCTGCCTAACCATACAGTTCTGAAGATCTGGGATTCAGTATTCTTTGAAGGCTCTGAAATTATACTGAGAGTAGCTTTGGCTATCTGGGCAAAGTTAGGAGAGTAAGTGGTCATTTTTATCTGATTTTTCAGTATGAGCAATGTGTGTAATTTACATTGTTCTGAAGAGCGTGTTCTCAATTCTGAACAAGATGCAATCCTTCAGGAGAATGATTCTGCTTTGAAAAAGCTGCACAAAGTGCCTCTATGGCTTCCCCAAAAACACATGCTTCTGACATTATGTCAGAATGGGCATGATAATTGACCCTTGCTGCAGAAAATGTCTCCAGTTGTTTGTGTTGTCTGTGTATAATGTCTTCATGCTATGCTAAAAGGTTGGTTGAACTTTCCAGAACATAGACCTCTGAGGGAGCTGGTAAATACTCTGTGGAAAGACATACAGGGAGACTTGAGGGTCACTAGCTAATTTAATTGGGTACCTGAAGCTGGGGATGTTAATTCCCTTTTTTCACTTAAGGAGACTTAAGGATTTGAGCCCATTAGATATACCCGCAAAAAGAGTTCAGTGTTACTAAGAGAATGATTTAGTGTTACACGGTTCTTTTCTGTTAAGGCCTACAAACAAATTTTCCTGAAATTCTGCTTTTAAGCACATTCTAGCCAAGTTTCTATTATAGTCTTTTATGGCCTTGGAAACTCGCCACATAGGACAAAACACAAGAGATGGTTAGTTCTTCTAAACCCCTCTGTTGTCATAGCAAATATTTGCATTCCAAAGAGTGTACAGCACTCCTGGAGAAATGAGTTTTGTCACTGACTTCAGTGGGAGGTGAGAGCTCTGGCAGGTTGAGCAGATGTTAGTTCAGCTGGAAACTTTTTTCAGCTGGCGTCAGCAGCTGCGTCAAATTTTTCTTGTGATGCCTATCAACACTCACCTTCCTTTTTTCCCTGAGACTGAACCACCGGGATTTACGTTCAGCTCTGTCCTTGGAGATTTCATTTCTTTTTTCTTCCTGAGTAAATTAGCACTGCAGGCCAGTAGCATTGTAAGAGACTTTGTTTAGTATATTTTATTTTTCATCTGAAGAATAATAATTTCCTAAGAGCTTTATTTGTTCAGTTTAAGAATGAAACTTGCATGCATCATTTGCATTAGGATTAAGCTATATGTAGTCCCATTGTACTTTATTACTTTGTACCATACCTTTAGATAAAAGGTCCTATTGCAGTGGGTCTCTGTGCACTTAAAAGCTGTAATTAAAAGTGTTCCAACTCATGATAAAAAAGAAAGTCACTGCTTTCAAGATTTTACTGTAAAACTTAAAGCAAAAATGAAACATGTTTTATAAAAATTGGAAGGAACAGAATGAAGAAATCTATAAGAATATGTCCAAAAGAATAAGCTGATCACACTGCACACCTTGTAACTATTGTTTGTGGGGAATGGGAGACGGTCTGGCAGATTTGGGGGCAATTAACAGAAATGGACACTGGTGTGATAACTAGAGATCCAGAAGACGATGAGTCACTAAAACTGAACAAGAATTGAAATTCAGTAAGCTTGTGATTAGTGATATCAAATGAGATGAGGAAGTAAAAGATTGGGCACTATGTCTTTGCTGGGAGAAGATTGTGGCTTTGTTCCTCTTTCTTCTCCGCTAGAAATAGAATGGGGGGATTTAAAGAAGTGGGGCCTGAAACAGTGATCATAGTCTCATGATCTTCATACTTCTCAAGACTATCTTTCTAGACATGAAAATGGGGTGAGAAGTGCTTTTCCTAAAATGTGGGTGGTTCAATCATACCTCTGTTTTGAGGGAGACTGATGGAATGGGGAGGTTAAAAATAGGTGCAGTAGAGAAAGTAGTATGTGGAGGTCATGAGAGACTGAAGGTATCAGGAAAGGTAAGCAGTAAGTTTTTGATAATTGGCTACATACCCATTGTTTCTACGCTTTTTTTTTTTTTACTAAATCATTCTTTTAGCTAAACTATGTTAAGATTTCAGTAGGAGTTTCATAGTTCAATGGTTGCTCTCTACAGACACTGAAGATCAAGGGAAGCTTCCTTTTTTAATCCTTAAGAAAAAAGGCTGTGTATTTTTTTTTTTTTTATCATTCCAGCAGCTGTATTTTACAGGGGAGGCTGCAATATGTAGCCAGCAATACACTTGTTTGGGATAGAAGTAAAACAAATTTTTCACTTGATGGCAGAAGATGTTTAGCGGCTGACCCTAATGTATGTAAAACAGCAACTCACAAAAGCATATTACTCATATTTCTCTTCCTCCAGCTGACACTCTGTGGGTGATTCTGTGTTTTTAGAAATCTAAAGAAAAGTGTGGGGGGAAAAAACAAAACAAAAAAAACAAACACCCCCCCCAACAACAACTTGCTCCTCCCCCCCCAAAACAACACCAAAACAAAAAAACTAAACCAAAAAAAAGTCTGCATTTCTAATTTAGAAATAGCTTTCACAAGTGTGCAGGATATGAGTGAATTTTCCTTCATTCTGCATTATGTGAGCTCAGCTCTTTTGAATACAATGACATATATGAATACACCTATACTTAATTTAGTCCACCAGAATGTTTTCTGGCCAGCAAATATGTTCCAGTCTGACAAAAAGACAGTTCAAGCAGTGAATTCATCCGTTTGGTGTGTAGTGAAGAATGGGTGATGAGGCAGTCAAGAAATCTTCATGCTCCCTTTTTGAGCTGATGGGAGAGCTCCCCTGTGCTAGTAGGAGACAGGATTTATTGATTCTCTTGTTGTAGAAGTGGAAGAGGCAGAGGGAATAACCTGTCTGGACATGCATGAATCCTTTATTGTGAGCAGTCAGGACAGTAAGCTGCACTCAGTACATCCTTTTACTGCACCGGTATTTCCAATGTGATGTGCACAGTTTTATTATTTGGAAGTGTAGGGAGGATTGCAATAAACTTAAGAATTAAGGTGACTAGTGGAAGCGCGTATTTTATAATGACAGAAAGTTCAGTTTTGGTTTGGAGTTGTATAATCATACGTCAAAGTAAAATAGAAAAACAACATGTATTTTTATGTAGGCAAATAGAATGTTGTGAAACTGCAGATGAGTTTTACAGTACCATGGGCAAGCTGACCCAGGAGATGCTGGAAGACAGTCTGATTGACAGCAACGAACTCATGCAGGTGAGTAATTGTGATATAATTATTGTTTGTGTTTTCTGTGCGTCCTTTAAGCGCTGATTTCTAACAGATTACATTTTTGTTCAGATACTGCAGAAACCTAAACTCTCCCAAGAATAAAAATTTAAGATAACTGTAACATGAGATAAATAGATGACCTGCAGTTGAAGCTAAAATCTTATCTTACACATTAAGTATAGAGAACCACTAGGCTCCATTTGATAAAAGTTGGTTGTATGTTGACAGCTGAAAGTTTGTTGTGATATAATGCCAATTGGATTTACGCAAGTAAGACGTAGAATCTTTTAGTAGTCATAATTTTTAGGGTGTTTTATTTTTATGTTTTGGCCAGTTATTTATTACATTGTGTCCTTTTCATTCTGCAGACACTGTGGGAGACAAGAGTTCATCAAGTCAGAAGGGAAAAAAATATCCTTCATGATTTAAAAAAAAAAAAAAAGCCATGAACAGTCGTCAGTGAACTATAAACAAAGACATTTGTAGATAATTGCAGACCCTGAATTCTTAAAGCATACATCATTGTATGAGAACAAAGGTCCACATTGTTCTGGGAAAGCAAAGGGCCTTTAGTATTACAGATGTAATTGTATTGATTTGCACTCACAGGTTTTTTTTTCTGATATCCTTGAGGTGTTGTCTACTTAGATGTTTTATAAAGACTTCATGCTACAGTTCTGGAACTTTCTTTTGATGAGTTAGGGTACGGTGATTAAATGGGTGAAAATACAGAGCACAATTCATCTGAAATTTTTTATCTGACTTGGGGGAAGGAAAACAAAGTCAGTCTCAGTATATGAAGTTGGATGAGTTTATTACAGCAGTTAGCGGGTGACTTCTGTTACCCATTATTGGAAGCAAAACTTATTGACTGTCTGGGATAATACACTTCCATTGTCTGGTGAAGTACTGCTCTGAAGTAAAGGATCACTTTCAGATTTTTGGCTTTTGTTATTGCTGTTGTTTTGGTTAATGAGGGAGTTCTAGGAATCAGGGAGGTGAGCACTATGGCTTGGTTTTGCTTCAAAAATGGAAATGCAGCTGGTCAGAGGTACTCGCATGCTTTTTAAATAGGTGTTAAGGTTTCTCACAAGGCAGTTCAGATATTGAGGATGCATGAGGAGGGTGGCCCGAGCTGACACCTCATACTCACTCATGAGATAAATAGATGACCTGCAGTTGAAGCTAAAATCTTATCTTACACATTAAGTATAGAGAACCACTAGGCTCCATTTGATAAAAGTTGGTTGTATGTTGACAGCTGAAAGTTTGTTGTGATATAATGCCAATTGGATTTACGCAAGTAAGACGTAGAATCTTTTAGTAGTCATAATTTTTAGGGTGTTTTATTTTTATGTTTTGGCCAGTTATTTATTACATTGTGTCCTTTTCATTCTGCAGACACTGTGGGAGACAAGAGTTCATCAAGTCAGAAGGGAAAAAAATATCCTTCATGATTTAAAAAAAAAAAAAAAGCCATGAACAGTCGTCAGTGAACTATAAACAAAGACATTTGTAGATAATTGCAGACCCTGAATTCTTAAAGCATACATCATTGTATGAGAACAAAGGTCCACATTGTTCTGGGAAAGCAAAGGGCCTTTAGTATTACAGATGTAATTGTATTGATTTGCACTCACAGGTTTTTTTTTCTGATATCCTTGAGGTGTTGTCTACTTAGATGTTTTATAAAGACTTCATGCTACAGTTCTGGAACTTTCTTTTGATGAGTTAGGGTATGGTGATTAAATGGGTGAAAATACAGAGCACAATTCATCTGAAATTTTTTTATCTGACTTGGGGGAAGGAAAACAAAGTCAGTCTCAGTATATGAAGTTGGATGAGTTTATTACAGCAGTTAGCGGGTGACTTCTGTTACCCATTATTGGAAGCAAAACTTATTGACTGTCTGGGATAATACACTTCCATTGTCTGGTGAAGTACTGCTCTGAAGTAAAGGATCACTTTCAGATTTTTGGCTTTTGTTATTGCTGTTGTTTTGGTTAATGAGGGAGTTCTAGGAATCAGGGAGGTGAGCACTATGGCTTGGTTTTGCTTCAAAAATGGAAATGCAGCTGGTCAGAGGTACTCGCATGCTTTTTAAATAGGTGTTAAGGTTTCTCACAAGGCAGTTCAGATATTGAGGATGCATGAGGAGGGTGGCCCGAGCTGACACCTCATACTCACTGTGTTTCAGCTCCTGGTCTCAAGTGCAGTACAAAATCAAGGTGTGGCATTTGTGACAAGGAATAACGTTGGGAAAGCTGAAGTGGGCTTTAGTGACTCAGCATGGATTTCTTTCTTTGCTGTTGTATGTAATAGAAGATAAGGCTTAGGGAACTTACTGGTTGGAGGGATGGAAGGATCTTTTTGGTTTTTTAACTGTTGCAATTACAAGTGTAATAAATAGCAGTCTTTTTGTGCTTCAGCAAAAAATAAGCACTTGGTGCAAATGTGTTTTCATAGTGTACCTGTGTATTTTGTGACACTGACAGGAACGTTAAGGTAGAATAGCATTGCCATTGATATGGAGGATGTGGCAGGTTTAAGTTTTCTGCATAGAGAAGTAGTGTGTCTGTTTTCTGTGTGTCCTCTCAGTTGAAGAAACCACACTATAGATAGCATTCTTCAAGTCAAAGGCAGGCACTGGCAGTGTAGCCGTCTCCATCTGAGGTGTTCACTCTAGGCTCTTTTTACTGTAAGTGGAGAGAATTGGGCATTACAGGTGTTTACCATTAGTGGATATGAATGCCACCATACACCTGGCTGCTGCATTTGCACAATTTTCTCTGTGTTGGAGAAGAAAATAAAGAAATATGAACCATTGCGTTAATGAAAGGATCCAGGCTGCTTGAAGATACTGTTTTTTAAATTGCTTTAGGCTTTTTCAGAGCAGTCAGTCATGAATGTTTAGACTGCTTTGTTCTCAAAAAAAAAATTTTGTTTTTCCCCACTAATCAAAATCAGAATGGTGAATTTACATCTAATGCTTTTTACAAGGTGGCTCAAGGATTAGTACCCTACTGTGGGAAGCGATTAATATCCTCAGTAAAGGTTGCTGGTGGCAATCATTTCACTTTTCTTTAGACTTGCATGACACTTACATTTGCATCTGAACTACCTGTCCAGGCTCACTTAAGCCAGTGAAGAGTAACAGGCACTTCTCCGCCACTAGAAAACAAATTGTGCTCTAAAAGACCTGTTTCCTTTGGTAGTTCGGAGGGAGGTATGGCTTCAGGGGCAAGTGTTGACAGAGCAGATGTCTAAGTAGATCAGAGGACTCTTGTCCTCATTCTCTCCACCAGCATGTATAGTTGGTGCAAGTTTAACATTAAAAATGCCTGCCTCCCTCCTCCCATGCAGACAGTACATATACCTAGGATTGAGGGCTTAAAGCTTTTGCAGATTTGGCCCTTGCATGGCTAGAGTTCTTAGAATGTTGTGCTGAGGAGAGCGTGGAGGGATTGGAGGAGCAAGCAAGCCTACAGTTTCCTCCTTTTTCAGATTGAACAGTTTAGGTAAATAAAGGGTAAGTGCTGTACGCATCAGATGCTAGACCAGGTATGTATTCAGGACTAGAAGTTAAACAAATATGGTATTCACTAATGTCATTTTATTGGCCTATTAATAAACTTTTGTTCTAACATGGAGACAGAAGGCTGTACGCTAGGTGTCTGCAGGTGTTCTAAACAGCGTGTGCTAGATTGAGTACATGCTTTCATGCCTTCTCAGAAAGTGAGCATTTTTAGAAGCAGCTAAACTAATTCAGTTTGTAAGCCTAGAAACATTCCAGTGTAGAGGAGATGAGAAGCAAACAGGGAAAGGAGAGGCATCCCTCTGTGTTTACTGTGGTGGAGGGAACAGGGATTAATCCCTCTGTAGTACCCTAGCATTTTAGACTATCTCCTGTAGACAGTTACCCTGATTTGATGGTATTCACTGTTAGCTTTCTATTTGAGTAGCACTTTGTTTTCTTTTGGGTTTGTTTTTGGTTTTGTTTTTGGTTTTGCTTTTTGTTTTGTTTTATTGGTGAAAGTGAGAAAAGAGAGAGGAGCCTTAAACCAGTGTGGGGGTTGAGATAAGTGTGCTTGAGCTGTCTGCAAAGGCAAAACTGCTTACTCTCTCTTGGAAGCCACAGCCCAAAACCTTCTGTATAGTATTCTGCTGTAGATGGCTTTGCATTTTTAGGGTAAGGCAAAGGATTGACAAATGCCACTGATTTAAGGTGAGAAGAGAGGTTTTTTCCTTGTCTTTTTTCTTGTTCCCAGAATCTGTCCCTTATGACCATAAATAAGATGAGTTTGGCTGCATCATGTTTTGTATGTGTAGGCTGTTTCCCTCTGGCAGTTTCACCAGAATTAACCAAATGGGATCCAAGGCTGTGGACAAACGGGGAACAGGGTGCTTTGACTCTGAAGCATTGCTGTGAGGAGATCACAGGTGTTGATTAAGAATATTTTTTTAATTTCCAGTGGAACTTGCATCAGCATAAAATTTGTTTGTGGATCTCTTAGCCAGGTGGCAAGCGAGGCCTCCAGTTATAATCTGATAACAAGTAATTAAGTTAAAAACAGGTATGCTAAATGAAAGAAATTGCACAGGATCTGGAAGAGACACAGATTGGAGACAGGCAAAAGCTAAAAGCATAATCTAAAACAGTAGGTGCAAGGAGTAAATGGAGGACTCGGAGTCGACTGTTTTGCTTAAAGGGTAACTAGCATATGGAACAAGTTACCTGAAAAGGCTGTTGACATAAAGAGTAGAAATAAATTCCAGACACGCCTCCTTCTCTGTGAAGGGAGAGAGTTGAGACATATGGGGAAAAAAAACAGGAAAGTGTGGTGGAGATCAAACAAACAGGCAGACATATCGGGCCAGAGGTTGGTCCTTCTCCAGATCATAAAATTCCTTCGTCTGGTAGACTGCCGGGATATCGCTGTTCAGGCCCTAGAGAAAATTTGTCTCTCACAGTAGCATTGTAGTTTCATGGAGCGGCAAAGCTTCAGTTCACGCTCTGGGTTTTTGTAGGCATTCTCCTTGCCTCAGAGTCTGTGCATGGCTTGAACTGTAAAAGCATTTTCACACAGAAGCCTGTTGAGCTGCGCTATTGCCCTGTGCCTGATCCAGCCAGGAGTGCCCTTCCTGCTCCTCAATGCTTACATCATTGCTGTTGGTGAAACACTTGTTTGTTTTTTTTTTTCCCCTGTTTTTCTGTCAGGAAAGGTCTAGTACTGAGTTCATGTTTGCGATTTTCCTTAGTGTATTTAGCACAGACAAGGCACGGTTCAAGAATGGATTATGTAGAAATTGTTCAAAATTTCCCTTCATCTTAATTGAGGCTGTTTTGCCTTCAGATGAAAATATCACTGACTTAATAGCACAGAAAAAAAAATACATAAGTGAAGATTTTCTGTCATAGCTAATGAGAAATTTTTACGTTACTGCCTTTCAGAAGACATTTAATATTCAAGATGGGGAAAAGCTATGATTTTTCAGAGAAACTAAGAAATTATATTTCAGCTAGTTTTTTCTTTTTACTTCTGACATTGGGACTCCCAATGAATTGTGTGTCAGTTATTTGAAAGTCCTGAATAGTTGTAAGTGTACAAAAACGGGGGGGGGGGGCAACTAAAATAGGTAGGAACAAATTAGCAATGATGTTGCAATGAATATGATGTGTCTTTATGCCAGGTTAGCTGGTGACACACATTCTGTTACTACAAAATGCCTTGAAGCAAAAATAATGCTGAAAGCAAATGCATTTGCAACTATTTATCTTCTTTAACTCTGAGTATTGAAGGAAATAAAAGGTATTAGTTTTTTATGGCCTTGTTTTAAGTTCTAGGGATTACATGTTGAATTCAGTGTTGCAGAGAGGTTTCTTTGTTCTCCACAGAACAAATTTCTTTTAAAAAAGCAACCACCACCACCCCAAAAAAAACCCCGAAACCCAACCCGCAAAACAACAACCAAAACCATAAACTGAGAGGAGAAAAGTTAGCTGGATAATGTTGGGTCCTTCCTCTTTGGCTGTAACTTTTGTGTTGAAGTGATTTCCTTCACACAAGCCTTTGGGGCTGCTCAGGTGAAGTAATGGATCTGTTAACAGTCCACATCAAGTGAGGATCTGCTCCTTCCTATCTGTGCTAGTGTCAATACCTTGTTGAATACTTGAGCAGAAACATAAGTCTTCTGGAAGATCCCGAAAACCTCAATGATGCATTCATGTAAGTGAAATCATAATTGGAGGAGGAGGATTTTTGGTGTGCTGGCAAGGAGAGGATTGACAATGATTTTAGTAAGTACAGGAGTTAACATGAGATGTAGGGTCCTTTTCATCTGTTCCATTTTTATTTTTTTTCCTCTGAACCATGTATTTTTCTAGTGAGTCGGTCTGTTTTTCTTACAGGAAATACTGACTGAATCATAAAACTAGACCATTTCTATTCTCTTACAGCACATGAGAATGTGCAGCCTTTAATCCTGCAAGACTGTGAAACTGTGTTCATGGAGAAATCTTTTGTGGGACTTAGTTAAAGTGACAATTTTAAAAGCTGCATTTTTTTTTTTCCCTAGACTGTTTATACCATGGCTCAGTTTCCCTTCCCACAACTGGCAGAACTGAGGGAGAAATACACATACAACATTACTCCTTTCCCTGCAGCAGTAAAATCAACTTCACTTTCAGGGTAAGTTTGAAATGCACTGCTTATGGCATATAGGGGTTATTGTTTACCCTACACAGATAGTGACAAGGCAGGTGGCGTCCTCCCTTGTATGCTCCTAAAGAAGATAAAGATGTTTGGTAATGATCGTATTTAAGAATGTCTCTTTCTCATTTCTCTTATGTTCTCATTTGACAGAAGGCTAGGCAGAACCAGAGACAGTGATGAGGAGAATGACCTAGATGATGAAGACTCAATTGCCAATGCAATTGGCTGTCTTGGACCATTAAGTGGGTTTTTGGCACCAGAGCTCCAAAAATACCAAAAACAGATGAAAGGTAAAAGTGCTTTTGTTCATTTTGGATAATGTAGTTAAATCTGTATGACCTTGCAGAAATCGTCTGTAGCTTCCTCTGTGAAAGCTGCTATGAAACTTGTATTTTACATTCACGTGGAGATTACAGCAGGTACCAAATGGCTTGCTCTGTGGTCCATGAAGATGTCTTCAAAGTCAAGTTTGAAGGCTGTATGTATACAATAAATGACAGTGTGGGTTAAGGATTTGTCTACAATAATGGTTAAAAAACCAACCCCATAGTGTTGCCCACCCACAAAAAAAGCAGCACGTGTGTGGAAAAAAAAGTCCACTCTAAACTATGCTTATTTCCAAGAAAGCTGTTGGGTAGTCAGCATTTTCTGAAGAGTGTACATGTAATAAATAATCTTGATGTTTATTAGCATATGCATGGCTAATATTGGAACCTGTCAGCAGTGAGTGAATTCTGCAGGTCATTTCACCACCCTTTTGGCCAAACCTTCAGACCATTGTATGTCTTGGGTATATTCACATTTTTATAAAATTGGGTATGGTTTAGGGTGTGACAAAATGTCGCTATTTTTTCAAATCCCTCCATGTTGAAATAAAATTTCTGACAGAGTTGTATGTTCACCTGTGCAAGCTCTACAAGCAGAACAAAATTCTGATCCATACAAGAAAAGCAGATCATTTGTTAACTTGCAGCAGCCTTTACGAAATGGTACTGGATCAACAGTGATTTTATGATATCCTGGGAGAGGCTGTAGTTATTTATACCCAACCCACCCCCACCTTCCCCCCCAAAAAAACCCAGACTGATGTAGCAGTCGCTGTTATCTGATTACACATCATCATTCTTGTGACTTGGTTTTGTTGAGACCTATAAGCTGCAATTTTCCTCTTGATTGCTGTGGTGGTTTGTTTTTCCCTTCCTGAGGGACTGTAAGTCTCTACCTGCTGCTTCAAGCTAGCACTTAGTCAGAACGTCAAACTGCTGTTGCAAACTAAGCCGAAGCCAAACAACCATCCCTTGAAAAAGAATTATCCCCTTGACCCTGGAGTGCCAGTTTGGTGGTGCATCAGAAACAGCTGTGAGAATAAATGGCACTGCTGCTGTTGCTCTGCAGCTGTTGATCAGAGACGCTCTCAAGTTGCCTGATCCTCAGCTGCTCTGTGCCTGTCCCTTTTGTCACTGCTAGCAGCTTTCTCCCTGTGGTGCTATAACTGTTTCTTGATGCTTCTTGCTCGTATCACTAGGTCGGTTGTTTAATCTCATGCCTGCGTAATGTATTTTATAACTTGCATTGTTAGCCTCCTCTTTGACCAACCGAGTGTCTTTAATAATCAGTTTCTGAATTGCTTTAGTGGTGACTAGATGCACTTTTGGGTAATTGAAGAACTGTGCTTATAACTTTGCACTGCTATGTTAGTTGACTTTCGTACTCTTCACGCTCCCCTCAAACCTTTGCTATTCTTAAGCAGTAGTTCTAGAAATGTAATACTTCTTATTAGAAATAGTGCAGCTTTGTTAAATATGCATATTATAATAAACTTGTAATTAAAGACTACAGTTAAATAAGACGATAGGAATCAGACATATATTTCCCTTGTAGATAATCTGCTGAACTCTTGAGTATGCCAATTTACTCCTCATCTCCACTTTATTCCCACTCTGTGCAGATCAGAATGAAGAACAAAGTCTGGGTTCCAGTAACATTGCAGAATTAAGTCCAGGAGCAATAGACTCTTGCCGAAGCGAGTATCATGCTGCTTTTAACAGCATGATGATGGAGCGTATGACCACTGATATTAATGCACTGAAAAAGCAATATTCCAGGATAAAGAAGAAGCAGCAACAGCAGGTTCACCATGTGTATATCAGAGCAGGTAACATATCAAAACATGCTTCACTTACTGATCTATTGCAAGCTAACTTCAGGAGACAAGGCAAATAACATTCTTTTACGTTTAACCAAATAGACAAAACAAGAGAGACTGATGCAATATATAACACATTAGTAGTAAAGTGGGTACCACTTCCTACAGACAGATTTTAAATGAGAAGGTGATGTTTTTTCTTCTTTTGTCAGGATCTGAGGATGACGACCCCGGGATTTTTTTAGGTCCCAGGGACCAGCTGAACGATGGTATTTAAAAGTGTCTTTGCTATCTGGGTGCCTTGTGTTGATCTCTCTGATTAAAAAGTGTAAATCTTTGGCATTCTTGGAGTTGACATACTGATGCACTGGAAAAAGTGAAATGAGGAGATGAGTACACTTCAGACCAAGTGGCAAGCAGATTCCTAGCTGGTCCATATTATCCTAACTCCTCTGAGTTCATCCGGGCATGGCAAATTACGCAGCTGAAGAACTGGCATAGATGTTCCATTGTGGCTAGCAGTTTTCTTAGCCATAGTGATACTGCTGTGAGGATTGAGCTGGACATCAGCCCGTTATTTAGCAATCCGTGTTACGGAGTCTAGTTCCCCAATTAGCAAACTCAGCAACGTGGGGGATTAGCACGAACAGTGCAGCTGAAGGTTTTAGTGGGTGTGCAAGCTGAACACAACCCACCCCACTCATTCCTCCCCACTTAGGTGCCATCTCTCTAAGTCAGCATTGAACCATGCAGATGGGTCACTGTGGAGAATTTTTATTCCTCTTCTAGATTGTCTAAACTTGTCCTAGCAGGAGCATTTGAATACATAGAGCTGCAATTTTTCATTAACATAATTTGTAAGGATTTTTTTTTTTTAATATTGGCAAAATATTTGCTTTGAACACAGGCTGTAGCCAGTGGAAACAGTGCAAACAGTAAAATGTTGATCCCTGAGGATTGCCAACCCCCACCCCCCAAACACAAGCCTTTCTAATCTTACTAATCATGATGCGGGGCTGGGCTTGTGGTTTAATCAAACTGTCATCTAATTACCTAATTCTGAGTCTACTGCTCTGGTTTAATAAGGGGACCTAATAGAAAAGAGATTTATCCGTTAAAAATACATTGGTTCATTCTCCAGTCACACAAGCCTCATGGAGAAGGCTTATTTGACTGACCTCGTATAGGGACTGAATTGCCTCTCATGGTTGGAAGAGAAATGAAGGAGAGGGGAAAGATCAGAAGCCAATATTAATGTTAAACTATCTGTTACAGTGCAATTCCAAAAATCAAGAAGCTATTTTTGTTATGATTTATTTTCATGGTATTCCTGTCTCAGGACTTACCCGTACATAAGAAGCAGGGAGGGAGGACAGGAAATCTTTATTATAGAAGTTACAGCTTTGTGTTTGACTCCAAGGTGTAAGAGAAATTCAGTGGGTTGGGTTTTTTTGGGTTTGTTTTGGTTTTTTTTTTTTTTTTTGTCAGTCCTACAAACCTTTGCTATACCTCAAGAAAGGCATCAAATTTGGTGGTGGATCTTAGAACATTAATTAGTTTTGTTCTTTAACAATACCGTGTTTCTTTTAAACACTTTCTTTCAGACAAAGGGCCAGTTACCAGCCTCCTTCCTTCTCAGGTAAACCATTCCCCGGTGATAAACCACCTCCTTTTAGGGAAGAAGATGAAACTGAATAACAGGTCTCTCAAAAATGCTATTATTCACATCCCAAGTCATGCTACAGGGAAGATGTCTCCCATTCCCCAAGAAGATCTTAAAACAAAACTGAACTCTCCGTGGCGCACTCACATACGAGTTCATCGAAAGAATATTGCTAGGGCCAAAGGCCAGCTGGGCTATGGGGATACCATAGGACTAATAGATGAGCAGAGCGAGAGCTGTAAAACAAATAGTCCTGGTGCAAAGGAGGAGACTTCCAAACATTCTGACTCTGGAGAAAGAGAAGGAGGTGGTTTGGATGACAGGACTACTCGAAAAGCTGACGGGCAGTCGTCTGAGCCAGTCTCTACAGACAGCAGTACAAACATGTCAGTGGTTCAGCTAAAACTGGAAGCGCTGGAACTCACCTCAGATAGCAAAACCGATGCTGAGTCAACATCCCATCAGTCCGGCCAGCCACGTTTATCAGAGTCCTCTAGTGCATCCAGCAACAGTGGGAACCTGGCTAAATCTCCCCAGCCTGGGAATCCAAAGCCGCAAGTCTTCAACCCTTTTCCCAGCGTCAAACCTCTTCGAAAGTCAGCTACAGCCAGGAATTTAGGGCTGTATGGCCCCACTGAAAGAACGCCAACTGTACACTTCCCACAAATGAGCAGAAGTTTCAATAAGTCTGCCAGTGGCAACAGTGGGACCAGGAAACGATGATGTACTTACCTGGCACTTTCTATTTCTGACAGCAACAAAAAATTTGTATTGCCTTTTTTTTTTTAATGTGTATGTGTGTCCCAAAGCGTTTCTAATCTTTAATTAAGTAATGAGGACAAAAATGGTTACCAGGTGTATAAATATGTGTCTTTGAAAATTGTGCTCCCGTGTTGTTATGGGATAGATTAGTGAAGATGCACTCCGGCACCCTATTGTCGATTCTGATGGTTCGGTGGTAAAATAAATATTGATTTGCAGTGTGAAGCATACCATTTCTTTAAATCTAACTCAGACATAAAACCACTGGCTGCCTTTAACCCCCCAGCGCCCCATGGCTACCTCCTGTCTCTTTCAAAGCTCGGAGGACAAATTGTTTGGTGCAGCAGACATGTATAACAGTTTTTATGACTGTTATGCAGCTTCCCCATTAGACCTCATCGTCATGCTGAGTAGCTGGAGAAGCCATGACTAACAGAAGCACAAGCAGCCCTAGCAATCAAAAGTATCACTTTGTGTCCAACATAACCGCTTACCTACAGGGCCATCTGGCTTCAGACATTCTTGAGCAGCGTTTTGTGCTTCTCTTCCCACAGCAGTCCTCTGCGGATACTGTTTTTAATATAAATGTAATCAATGAGTGTGAGAATAGCAGGCATAAGTCCATCCACAACACTGGTTTGCTCCTTTTCTGTTACATATGTACATACATACATTTCTGTTACTGCTGGAGAGTTGCAGCCCTGCAAAATTAGGAATTAGGTACAACTATATGTGTAGTTGTATGAATATTATGGCACATCATGGCTTCAGTGGATTTAAAAGCTATTATCTAGATTACAGACTTGTAATTAAATCATATTTGCCAGCTTAGCAGTAGGTAAAATATATAAATGTTCCAAAGTAGTTTAGGGTTTTAAATTCTATAAATAGAGCGATTAGATACTTAGGGTGCCACTTATCATTAAAAGCCAACACATCAGCCACTATGTAAGTGGGATGGACCCATGGGACTGCCATGGGCTTCCATGCTTGGTTCTGGTTTGGTGTGAAAGAGCAATGGCAGAGCGATAAGCTTGAGTATTTACTTCCAAATCAAAAAGCGAAGTACTTTTTTTTTTTTTTTTTTCTTCCCCCTCTATACGTTAGACAGGCAGGCAGAGAAAGTAAATGAGAACAATTCAACTTCAGGGTTGCAAGATCAAGCACTCCAAAAAATTAAGGTTGCTCTTAAAATATTCCAGCTCTGCTGAATTGTAGGTATTGACTGCGATTCATTACCTTATTGCTTCCAAGTTTCCCACGACATGGAAGTGCCATTACTTTAAACTGGAGGAAAAGCAATAACGATGAATCAGTCCCATTGTATGTAGTATCTTTCTTCCTCTTCTAAAATTCTTTGTTGAATTTGCAATATCATTGTCTATTTATTAATGTATCCCATAACCTATAGGATGTGATACCGGTTTTACTGTATACCATAACTTATAAGCTGTACAATATACCCTGTTTATTGTTGTGGGGACAGTTTTATTTTGTTGTTTTATACAAGTGTATGCATATAAAATAATATACAAGTATGAACACTATAAATATAAACCAGACGTAGATCAGATCTTGCCCCTGCCTTATTTTCAGGTTATAGTAGTGTTGTCACTAATGATTATTTCTAGCGCTAAGTAAATTTAAAATAATGTAGAATGTAGTCACTGATCGCAGACTGTATGAGAATTGTTTCTGCCTTGATTTAGAAGAAATGGACTTCTCAAAATTTTACTGTGCATCATTCTCCCCAGTTTTTCTTAGCTTCAGTGTATCGCGCGGCTGTATACCGAACCAGTAAAAATAAAAGGACTGTCATTCTGCAAAAACTGCTAAAATGTTGCAAGTACGTGCATGAATTTTCAACACATTAAGATGTGATTAAGCAATGGAAAATTAGCAAGCTTTGCACGGATATTGATCTGGGGAAAGAAGTGCCAATGGAATACTAATTCTAGCGATTCAGACCTGATCAATAATTGACAAGCGTGCTCTGGGGGTCTTGTACTCTACTCGGGCTGTTAGGATGTACGCGAAGGAACCACGGCAACACAGTGGTAGTTTGCCGTAGTTTGATGATGTTTGCTGCAGGAAATTTTCTTTAAGTACTGCTAGGTGAGAAAATTGAGTGTCATTTTAGCTGTTCAGTACCTCAAAGGATGTTCACTCTCTACCTGAAATCTGCCTGTCAAACGTACAGCAAAAGCAACTTCATCATTTGGTACTGAGCTGGAACATTAGGACGAGGTCCAGAGAACCAGGAAACTCCAGGGAAGTTTCCAATTATTTTTCCCCAAAGAATCCCTTCAGCAAACAAGGTCTGGTGATGCAGCTGAGCCTGGAAGCGTAGCCTTGCAGCACTGAGGACGTTGGGAAGCATGATGGTGGGAGTCCGCTCCGTAAACCTCTGCATTTTGTTCTCCTTGAGGCCTCCTTGTACTAATGCTCTCTTCCATGCCAATAAAGGACCTTTCTGTTTGTTGGGGTTTTTTAAAACTTCTCGAGTCTTTTTTTGAGAAAATATTTTATTAGGATCAGATTGACTTTTATTTCTGAGAATGTATTTCACCATCACAAAATGGAAGCTCTCAAGGATGGGCATTTGATTCCGTTTTGAGGACACTTACAGTCCTGCAAGTGGAAACAGGTCCAAAGCTATTCTGAGATGATTCAAAATTGCCTCCGCTTTGGGGGTAAAAATGGTAGATGGCAGAAATCAGTTTTTCAGAATTGTAGGCAGCAAACAGTTGATTTCATCCATAACTGCAGCTAGGGAAGATATAATCTTGTATACTCAATAAAAATCTTACCAGAATCCATTCAAAAGAACATAAGTGGTTGCTAGAAAGTCAACAAAACGTTATTTCAAGGAAAAAAAAAAAAGACCTTTATACTGGTATTTCCAATTCAGGTAAAAGTCCATGTTCAAAATTCAGGACAGACTTTAAATCTGTTTCAAACCTCCACAACATGTATTTTAAACCACGTGAAATCGTTCATACAGAAATAAAGTGGGTGGTTTCACTGTTCTGTAGTTTTCCTTGACCTTCTTGCAACAAGTTACCCGGTGCCCGTCCACAGGCAGCAGTCACACCTGGCTGCGTGGCAGGAAGCCAACGTCATCATCTGACACTTCAGCTCCACTGAAGCATGAAGAGAAAAAAATTCATCCTAACAGATGTCCTTGTTGATCCTTTGTTTGCTCCAGTTTTACTCACTTCTTGTTGGCGGAAGATTCGTTCGAGCCGGGGGGTCGTCATGGAGCCCTGCGAGTGATGTGAGATGTGCAGTCGTCCCAGATGAGCGCCTTCAGCCCGTCTGTCATCAGCCAGCAGGGACCGGTCGAGTGACTGGTTTCTCAAGCAGCCAGAAACTGCTGTGTTTGGACACCTCTGCGTTGGTGACAGCATCCGTGGGAAGGTGTACTCCTCGTGTGGGGAGGGTCATGTGTGGGAAGGGTGGATCCGGCGCACTGCAGGTAAGTGCATGTGTGAAAGGGTATCTTCTGCACATCCTTCCCCACTGAAGAGCCTGAAGAGCCTTCAGGGCTTGCACAAGCTGACTGACTGACACGAGATATTTGACACGATTTAGGACACAGAAGTGGTTTGCAGTGTAAGACCGTGTCAGGCTAGCCGATGCTCAGGCCCAGCCTCCCCCAGCCTGCAGGATGCTGTTTCAGGTGTGCTTCATCCTGCGAGCAGCATACAGCACTTAACTGGCTCACCGCGGGTTTGGAAAGAACCACAAATGTTTCCAAGTCTTTTTCTGATAAAACCGTATCAAACCACACTGGCTTACCACAAATAGGCAGGCAGGCGTGGTGGTGGTGTGGAAGGTGATGCATGTGGATGGAGAGGCTGGGAGGAGGGAAGGAGCAACCCATCCAGGCAAAAGGTGCAAGAAGTTTTGAGGGAAAGCAAACTCCTCGGTGCCTGTGCTTCTTTATAGGTTGGTTGTTTATAAACAAATCAAAGGATTGGATCCACGATGTGCTGCTCCCTGCCCGTCATTCATGTGTTCAAAGTGATCATGGACTTGCCTGATGCCAGCGAGGAGCCACATCCCGTGATGTTGTTGTCAACCCACTTGTTAGCCCAGTGGTTGCCCCCAGCCTGCCCTGGCAGGAGGGAGGCACCAGCGGAGAGCCCTCTGATGCGGTTCACTGTGGCTCGGTTCACACAGCGAGCTGTCGAAAAGGGAGCGAACACTCAAATCCCAGCCGGGGTAAAACATGTGCTGTCATTGCTGGCACACCTGACTTCTCTTGGCCCGTGCTCTAAGCCAGCTCTGCAGGGAGGGTGTAGCTATGATGACACTGCCCCCAAACTAGGCTAGTAAGCATTGCTAATTGACAGGTGTGCCAGGCCATTGCTGGATGGATGTGGCCGTGCAACCCTGAGTGAAGCTCGGCGTGCTGTCTGCACTCAATGCGGAGCTAGCTTGCCATCTCAGCCCAAAGGCTTTGGAAGCCTGCATGTGCTCAGAGCATGGCTTGCACCAGTTTGCAGGGGATCTGGTGGACGCACACACCGCTCAACCCACAGTAGCGCTAGGGATGTAATCCTCCACGTCTGGTTTGTCAGCAGCAGCCTGGCCGGTCTGGTAGAAAGGGCTGCTACATGAGTTGCTCACCCTCTCCTTCTCTCAAGGGCATGTACAGTTTTCTGATATTTTATAATTGTTGGTGACACAGGGAAATCTTTTGAGCAGCACCTCATTTTTTGAATACTGGAGCAGGAGAGACAGGGGTGCTTTCTGCATCACAGCACTCAATAGTTTTTGCAACTATTCCTCTCTACGTTTGGCTTGTGCTTTCCCTTTGTGAACTCCCAACCCTTGCTCACATTCATTGACTGTGTGATGAGAGTTTTCAGGAAGATAAGGATAGCCATGCTGGCTGGCTTAGCCCAGCATCTTTTCTCTGACCACTAATGGTTGGAAACGCCTAAGAAAGGAGT